GGGTGGGGGGGAGAGAGCTTCTGATAAGCTGGCCCAGGTTAGGAAGCCCCCTGCCCCCACAAAGGGCACCTGGACCACAGGTGCTTCCAGGACCCCTCCCAGCTGGGGCCCGCCCTGGGTGGCCTGCCTGCCTTATCCCAGTCAGAGCACATTCCACGGGGATGGCAATAGGATACACGGCTTTTCCTCCTCCACCCAGGGCTGAGTCCCAAGAGAGGGCGGGTGAAACCAAAGGGAAGGCTGGGGGAGCCACCCCAGGGCCCAGCCTCTCTCTTCTGCTGACCTGAGGAGAGGAGGCCTGGGCCGGCCCCAAGAAAGGGAAGTGTGTGAGCTCAGGCTCTTGGGCTGTCAGTCACATAGGACTCTGGACTATAGTGGTGGGCAGGTCCTGGGCCCCTGCCAGGGGACACGTGGGGACACAGGCCCAGAGCAAGGTGGCCCGACTGCCCAGGCCCACACAGGCATCTGTGCTAGTGTGAGACCAGAACCAGGTCTCTGGACACCCCGTCCCCTCCCCTGGGCCCAGAGATGGGAAACACCCAATGCAGGGGGAAGAGGAGAGAAGACAGGTCAGGGGAGCTCCCCAAACTTCCGGCCTCCACTCCCCCAGCTCAGGGGCTGGGGGTGGGAACCGAGAGGCCTGGGGATGTTTCCACCTGAGACTGGGAAGCAGAAGCAAGACAGAGAAGCAGGCCTCTGGGCTGGGGGGAGTGGGGCATACAGTGGGACAGGGACAGGCCCTTCCCACCACGCCAGGACCCAGCCTTCTCCCCTCCCCCCAAATCTGGGGCCTGACTGCCCCTCCCCCCACCAGACAACCAGAGATGGTTAACTGTCCCCATTGCACAGAGGGGACAAGTGAGACCAGGGAGAAGCGTCCACTCTGAGGCCTATGGAGGCAGAGAAGACTCAGCATCCTTGCTCCTCTCTGCACCCCTCTCCAATCAGGAGAAGGGTCCCCCCAAAGCCTGCGGCTCTCCTTCTTGCTCTGGCTGGGAGGTGGAGGTGACATTCAGAGGGGAGGAGAGCGGCAGGCCTCTGGCTAGTCAGAGGGTGGCTGTCCAGCCGTCCGCAGCCTCCCCGCTCACTCCTCCACCTTCCCTCGGGTTGTGCGGGGGTGAGCGCGGGGCAGAGGGACGGGGCGGACACTCACCGTCCCAAGCCGCCCGTGTGGGCCAGCTGCCGCATGCGGTGCAGCTGCCTCTTCATCATCTTGGGGGCGCGCTGGCGGCCGCGGGGTCACGGCGGGGGTCGAGGG